CATTAAAAATCACTGGGAAGGTCTGGCTGGTGTGGCTCAGTGGTTGAGCTATGAACCAGGAGGTCACTGATTCGATTCCCGGTCAGGGCACATGCCTGGGCTTCGGGCTCCATCCAAAATTATTAAATATAAATAAATATATATTTAAAAATCACTGGGAAGGCTGCCGTTTTGGAGTCAGGAGGCATAGACCAACCCAGACACTTATCTTGCCTATCTCTCTCTCTCTTCTTTAAATAATGACTGAAAAAGATAAATCAGGGCTGGCCCTGAGACCTTGGCAAATTAGTTAAGTTTTCCAAACTGTTTCCTCAGCTATAGAATCAAGACGCACACAGCTAGCCTGCTCCCCACCCCCCGCCCCCAGGGCGTGGAGGATCAAATGACTGGAGCCACGAGAGTGACACAATGTGTAGGAAGTCTCTGAGGCCCACATGCCACCTACACCGCCGGCATCCTTCCTCCTGGTCAAGCGCACGGGGACCAGCTGTGCATCCTTTCCCAGGCCCGTGGGAGGTCCGACAGCCAGGACGGAGGGCCAGGTGGGGACCCTCACGAGCTGGGAGGGGCCCCTGTGCGGCTCCCTGATGCCCTGGCTCTTGCCAGGCATGAGTTCCAACAGGAGCTCCGGTGGCCACCAGCCATTTTCGAGGGGGCAGGGGGAGCGCCGGGCCCTCCTCCAGGCTCCGCACACCTCGGGGCGAGGAGCCCACAGAGGAGCCAGCCCATAGCTTCCTTCGTGAGGAAGGAGCACAGGCCGAGGAGCCGGGCAGCAGGGGACGCGGCCAGAGCCACTCGGCTGCCAGCGCCTCGGAGCCTGACATTTGGAAAGAGCTGGCCTGGGGGAGCCAAGCGCTCGGGACAGGGCTCCTTCCGGCTCCGGCTCCGGCTCCGGGAGTGTCCAGAGGGGAGCCGGAGGAGGAGGAGAATGACTCAGCTAAAAGGAAGAGAAATGTATTTTCAAAGAGCGCCAGGATGGAAGGCACGGAGGCACGAAGTCAGGCCCCAGGATGGGGTCCAAATGCCTTCTCAGCGGAAGTGGGGCGAGTCTGCAAACAGCCAGAGCGCTCGCTGGGGCTCCCAGACCAAGAATAGCACATGGTGGGCTGGGGCAGGGCCCTGTGCACGCTGCTCCCTTAGGCTCTGCATATGGGGTGCGCGCTGACGCAGGAGGTG